TTTTGCTCTGTGGTACATCATCTTTAATTTAATAGCATTAGAGCTGCTCCATTGCAGCGGCTCAGTACTGTAATCACGCGCTTTGCTGTAATAATGCAGGGAACCACTCGTTATAAATCTCCTAACTGTGATATTTTCAGAAATCATCTTCATCTGTTTTTTAATCTGAAACGTGCTGCGATTTATATTCCAAAGCCACTCATATAATGCAGAAACACTCAAGCAAGCAAAACACGTGCAATGCGTGCACGTATTTGTGCTGATGCAGAAAGAGAGGGACAAGTACAGTACACCTAGCGCATTTCACACAGGCTGCTAGATTCACTTTCGCCCAGAAAGTCGTGTATGCCTAAAGTTGAAAAGAGATGATGTTTATAGTGAATGCCCCTATAAATGGTCTTATTTTTATGATTAAGTTTTAATCCAAATGATGCGTGTGCTAAGTGAGTGAACATCAAAGATCACACAACAGAAGTGCGTGCTCTCTCTCTCTCTCTCTCCCTACCTTTAAGTATCTTGTGCATTGTTTTACTTACTTGTTTTTGACATCCGACCGAACTACAAACTTTCCAGTGATGTCTGTGAGAAAGATATATTCACTCGACAAGCTCGCGCATCTGCGCCGCCGCACGCTTAATCCACTGAGCGTGCTTTGTTTATCAGCTCGCACACATCAGCTATACAGGCGTTAATACTGAATGTTTAACATTATATTAATTGCATACATATACTTCGTAGTAGACATCCTTAACTCCTTTCTGCTGTCTGTTGTTCTGTTGTCGGTGTTTCTTTGTTTGAATATGGCGCTTAACACATGCTGTGTGGTATCGGCGTTTGGTATCGGGGTATCATTTTAACGAGTACAGGAGACCAGTATCGGGCCCGATACCAATACCAGTATCGGTATCAGTGCATCCCTACTTACTAATGTCTTTGAATTCTCTTCACTTGGGTGTTTTTCCTCAGCAAATAATAATATATGGAATACAGAATGCATCAGACAGCAAAGTAGTTTCCTCCATTAATCAAAGGACCCAATTGTGACATCCCAGTTGAACACCCTTGGTTTATTCTCTAAATGTATACCTGCCAGATGGAAGATCCCATGTTCTGATGGCGCAGTCCATAGATGCTGTAATCAGCCAACGTCCATCTGGACTAAATGTCTGGACAAAAAGCATAAAGCACAGTTCATAAACACTCATTATACATTACTTATACTTAATTTCCTCATGCAAAACACATTTTACTTTCTTTCTTACATGGAACATAATAAGGAAAAACATATTTTGTCCATATTATAAAACACAATGGTAACCAGGATATGTCAAGCATTGTGTAGTATGGCACATATTGCATAAACATTCCATGAGCATGAAAATTTGAATGAACATGCTTTTGTGTTTCACAGAAGTAAGTCAAACCATTTGAATGAGTAAATATAAGAACAATTAGATCAAAGTATTCCTTTAATACAAGCAGAGTTCATGAGAATTCATGGGAATTGTAAAGAAAAATGCATGAATTTCACATGGAATTGGTCAAATTTGTCCCTTAAACTCACCATGTCATTGATCTGCCCACGATGTCCAGAGAATCTGCGGACAGCTCTCCTGGTCTCCATGTCCAGAATGTGAACAGTAAAATCATCCAGAGCGATGGCGAGCATCCCGCTGTTTGGAGAGATCAAGCATAAATCAACATCATTCAAACACTGTCTGGAAAATTATTTTCTTTCTCATACACCCATTGCAGCCAGGTAGATCCAAAATGTTTTACATTTCAATAAAAATCTAGTTAAAATGAACTAAAATTCAATAAAAATCTAGTTGAAAACAAGCACTGCATGTTTTGTCATTAAATGAACACTACAAAAGAAAATTACACAGACATCTACCAACAAACAATTTACTAAATCTTTTTAAACTGCACTAAAGAATATGATGCGTTAATTAAACATCACCATTTCGGGCAATAATTCTGGCCCTCCAAAACAATATATATATATACAGCATTAAAAAATAAAAATAAAAATAAAAATCACACCTGAGGCAAAAGTTGTAATGGCTGGAAGTTTTGCCGTGTCATGTGTCACACCTTTCTTTTTAGCTCTTGTTTTGTTGAGAGTGCCTGTTGGTAAAAATGACCATTGAAGCCTTACACAACGCAAACATTACACGAGGCAAAACGAAATGACATTAATCTCCATAATGTGAAAATGCTCAAAATTAAAAGTGAAGTGTGCAATGTTAAACATTTATTAAAATACTCTCTATTAATGTGAAAAGTAACTATTTGTAGACTGTCTCAGTGAAGAGTGCTGTTTGTTTGGGTGACAGATATAGCAGCACTGACCAACCGATGGTGTGAGTTTGGGGGCGGAATTACGTGTATATACTTTAGCAAATAACTGACTGGGTAGATTAAATTATGGAAACCTGGGGCCTGTTCTTCGTACATCGCTAACTCAGCTGGATTTGATTGTTGACGATTGGCATGATCTTGGATTGTTTGGTTCTTCAAAGCTCATCCTGGAGTTGCTGTCATAGCAACAGGTCCCTAAGCTTAAACCCCGGGAGCAGGCTTAGTTCATGTAAACAGGATTAGATCGCATCTTTTTAAGCAGAATTGATACTTAAAATCTGTCCCAACCAGTGTTGGGCAGTAACGCATTACTTAGTAACGTGTTACTGTAATTTGATTACTATCTTAGTAATGGAGTAATTTAACCCATTATAATTTTCAAAATAGTAATTAGAGTATAGTTACAAGCCGAGGTCTCTATACGTTACTGCCGCATTACATTGCTGACAGAATGCAGTGTTTTATAATCTAGAGATTGTAAAAAGGATGTAGCACACGCACTGTCGAGTCCAGTGCCAGTGGATTAGAGACCTGCTCTCCCGCGAGACCCGGCGCAACAGTGTGCGGCGCGGGACAAGATGGGCGAGTGCTGGTGCGGGCGGGTAGACACTCGAATGCGGGAGAATAAAATGATTCACGGCACTCCCGCAAAATAGAAATATGTAAACATAAAATATCTGAAACAAATCAATTGTTATTCATCTATTGCACAAAAGCATCAAGAACTATTATAAAATAAAAAACGATTAACAAGCACAAGTGTAAGCAGAGTTTCTATTTAGGCTATAACACGTGTTTGCTGCGTTGAGCAATGTTGATTTTTGGAAAGCAATGGCCAGTCAGGAGTGCAGTTCTGAAATGTGCATGCTCACGAATCCTCTCATTATAACACACGAATTGTAGACATTATATGAAAGATTCATTGTGTTATAACAGAGCTTTGTGAGATTGTGATGAACTAATGTCATCTTTTTAGAGATTATAAAAGCGGCGCTATTTGATGGCATTCTGCCATGCCAAACCATGTACGCAGCAGCCTATGCTTGCTTTAGTTAAAAATAACAGTGTTTTGTGAATGATGATGCTTTAATAACAAATATTTATCGGGAGCGTTTATTCTGGGATTGTAAATTTCATGGATGTAGTCACAGAAAAAAGTAACGCAACTAGTATTATAACTAATTACTTTAGAAATAAAGTAATCAGAACAGTAACGTGATTTCTTTTAAAAGGAGTAATCAGCAATTTAATTAAATTTTCGGACTAACTTGCCCAACACTGGTGCCAACCACTGCTACTTTATTACAAGAGTACCCTACTGATTCAGGGACAATAATTTTAAATAATAATAATTTAAAAATCTATTTGAAAATAATATAATAATGTTGTGTTGTCTGTAGGCTAATAGACACAGCCAGGTTTACTTATTGAAAGATTTATTAATAAATTAATAAATAAATAAAATATTTACTTTATAATTGTATTGGAGTCTTACACACATGCTATACAGATATTGAAGGGGTCATATGATGCGATTTCAAGTTTTGGAGTTTTTTCTCTTTGGAGTGTTACAAGCTCTTGGTGCATAAAGAAGTTCTGTAAAGTTGCAAAGACTAAAGTCTCAAATTCAAAGAGATATTCTTTATAAAAGTTAAGAGTCAACCACGCCCTCCTAAAACGGCTCATTCTAACACACCCCCACATGTCTACGTCACTGTGTGGAAATATTAGCATAATGCCGCCCAAATGTGCACGCAAAGAAAGAAGGCGTGGTTTCAGGAACAGCAGTAGTGTTGATGCAGCCATGTCAGGGAGACGCTGTGTTTCAGTGCGAAAGCAAAAGCACTTTATTTGGCCTTCCGGAAGTAGATGCAATTAGGAATCATTGGTTAAGATTTATTTAAAACAGAACAGCACAACCCAGATGTTCGAATTTGTGCAACGCATTTGATGGATGACAGTTTTTTTTAACCTAGAAGAGTACACGGCTGGCTGTGCACAAAGGCTATTTCTAAAAAAATTTTTTAAAAAAGGGTAAATTCCGACTTTGCTATGATAATCTGGCGCTTCTGAATCAGCGACTGTAAGTATGTTTTGTTATTAGTTTAAGTATTTGCTATTGACTGTTCAAATGCGGAGTTTTGCACAGTGCAGAGTAACGTGTCGTGTGTGTGTGTGTGTGAGGGGAACAGGGTCACATCACAGGAGAGTGAACTGCCTGTCAGAAATCATAGCACGTTACACCAAATACACAAAATAATGATCTTTAAAATAGCATCATATGACCCCTTTAATTTGAGTGGTGACAGCTATTATGGGAGTGGCTTGATGAAGCGCAGGAGATGCAGATAACTTGACCCTTAAAGGGGTCATATGATGCGATTTCAAGTTTTCCTTTCTCTTTGGAGTGTTACAAGCTGATTGTGCATAGATAAGATCCCTGAAGTTGCAAAGACTAAAGTCTCAAAACCAAAGAGATATTCTTTGTCAAAGTTAAGACTCTGCCATGCCCCCCTAAAATGGCTCGTTCTAACACGCCCCCACATATCTACCTCACTATGTGGAAATATTAGCATAATGCCGCCCAAATGTGCACAACAGAACAGCAATGCATTTTATGGATGACCGTTTCGTGAACCTAGGAGAGGAGGTAATTCTGACTTTGCTATGACAATCTGGCGCTTCTGAATCAGCTACTGTTTTGTTATTAGTTTAAGTATTTGCTATTGACTGTTCAAATGCGGAGTTTTGCGCATCGCGTGTGTGCGCGAGCGAGAGAGAGAGAGAGAGAGCGCGCGAGAGAGAGAGAGAGAATAGAGAGCGAGAGAGCAAGAGAGCGCAAGAGAGAGAGAGAGCAAGAAAAAGAGAGAGAGAGATAGAGCGAGAGAGAGACTGAGCGCTCCTGCAAAACCACCTTTTAATACTGGATTAACTTGAACTATCTTAGATATTTTTATAAGGAGACACACACAAACTTACAACCATCGACATCACTACACCTTGGATTAAAATTCTTTACATTAATCTGGATTTTGAAACTACATATCTGGAAAAGGACAACAACTGACTAAGGACCCAACAGACCCTGCACCAGAAACCAAAAGCCATCAAAAGAACCAAAAGGAATATCTGTTACAGATGACTATTTGTTACAAGGGGACCAAAGTAAATACCTTTTCTAAAATCTTTCACCAAGTATTCTACAACAAACTATTTTTCAAAAAAGAAAAAGAAGTTTCACTCCTCAAAACAGACAACAGTGTTACAGGTATATATCAAGGTCTACCTTGTTGCCTGACCACGCGACCTACTTGTGTAAATGTGACGGGCCAAAACAATAGCAAAGAAGATTCATACCCAACCCCCAAAACAGGTGCTAATGGCCCATATCACCAGACCCATTGGAGAACAATGTGTGGAGGCTATCCCACTAATCTACCCAAAAGATGTTTCCAATGAAACAGCACGAAAAGTCTACAAAAACAAAAAGCTCACAGAAAACCCAGAGACTTTATTTGCAGACCTTCATAAAGACGGCAGCATTAGTAACCTGATCTTCTACACCAACAGGCCCCATACATGGCACAAGGCCATCATCTCACAATTCCCCAATGCAGAAAGAAAGGGCATCTGTGGAGGTTTCCAGCTGAAAATAAAAAATTAGGAAGACATAACAACTATTAATGCTAATATATACAAAACAACAGGGATAGTTGTGGTGAAGAGCATCCATGGGCACTTTGAACAGAACTTCTCCAAAATCAAAGAAAGAGCACAACAGGAGCCCAAAAACAGCGAGCAACACCCGACCCCAGAGGAACCAGACAGAACCCCAGCTCCACACAAGCAGGTAGAACAGAAAGACCCTCCCAGCTCAGAACAAACCAAAGACCCCTATCCACACTGCTATTGTACTGACATGAGGGAGAAATTCACAGCACTGGAAATTGAACTGGTGCAGCTCAGAGAGATGACTATCTCTTTCCTCGCTGCCCAAAGCACAGACCAGCCCAGCAACAACACCAGTCAAACACAAAGAGAAAGACGATTTCAGGAGAGAACTGTACTCACTACAGGCTGAAGTGAAGCAGCTACTGCAAGAGAGGGAAAGGCTAAAGGCCCAACTAGCAACACTGGATTCCCAGCTCACACAGCAGACACAGAGCCACTGGGCCCTGATAACAGCCATGAGAGAAGAGATGAGAGAACTGAAAGAGGAGAAAGACAGCCATCGCAAAGACCTCACCCCCACAGAGGACACCCCCCACACTGACCACAACTTCCAGAACACAGTGGCAGAGCCCAGCCAAAACCTTCCTTCCTCACCAAACCCTCTACCCAGCTCACAGCCAGCCTCAGAATCAGACACTTCTTCAGCACCCATGGAACACACACAAAAACCAGACATTGTTCTCCTAATTGACTCAAATGGGAAGTTTATAGATGAGAAGAAGCTCTTCCCCAAACACAGAGGGGCCAATCTCTGGTGCCCAAACACCCATAGCGCCCTCAAACTGCTGGACGTGGACAAACTTGGATCACCAAGCCACATAATAATTAACACTGGCACAAACGACCTGAGAACACAACAGGAAAGAGTGGCGACAGCACTACAGAGGGTGGTTCAAAAAGCCATAACCACCTTTCCAAGTGCAAAAATCACCATCTCCACACTGCTGTCACGAAAGGACTTCCACCCAGATACAATTCAGTGGGTGAATGCAAACCTCTCTAGAGCCTGTGCACTCCCAACCTCGTGTACACCT